CTCGTTTTATGGGGTTATTCAGGGAGTCGGCAAAAAAGGAAAAAAAACTCCGCGAAAACTCGGAGAGTGTTCCAATCTGGCTGAAACTTTGGGGAAAACTGGATAAAACTATAGGAAACATTTTGCCAAAGTTTAGAGTCAAAATATCGACTTTGAAAATTTGCCGGGACAGCCTATTTTTCGATGCGTTTTTCTCGTCTACATTCATTTCTGCACATTTTGATGCAATAAAAAATTTCACCGTACACCACCTTTAAAATATTGAAAATTCGGCTTAAAATAATCCCAAAAACGCCGAGATTTTCAGCCCCCGCTCTGACGCCCAAAACACCCAACTGGAAGTATTTCTGGAATTTCTAAAGCCCTGGTTCGAGACAATTCGTGGAGAAGTCCTCCCAAAACCACTTTTCCGTGCTCTATGCCTCCTTTGTGGATCAGAAAACGTGCGTCAATTCATCTCGAGTCGACTGGAGATCTGGATAACACTACAGAAGTTTCATCGAGAAATTAGTGAACTCCTACTGGTGCTCGGTACGAATATCAATGTAAAACAGTACGAAATGGACCGCGAAATGATTGATGTGCTGCTCAAATTGAATACGAAAAATATGAAGGTTAGAGAAATATAAAGAGAATAAAATATTTAGAATTTTAGAATTCCCAAAAAAAAGCCTAAAAAGCAGTCTGAAAATTACTAAATTTCTGAATGTAAAAATTCAAAAATAATCGAAAAATTAGAAATTGCTGGTCTGAATTTCTAGACAAAATGGAAATAAGTCTGAAAATTTCTAAATTTTCAAATTTCTGAATTTAAATATTTCATTGGTTTCTTTTTGTATTTCATAGAAATTCCGAGTTTGGCTTTTTTGGAATTTTAATGAAAAACCCCCAAAAATTCATTTTTTGGGATTTTCGATTCTCTAGAATTTCAAATTTCCAGATTTTTGAGATTTCCGGAGAATTTTCTCATACATTTTCTCCACTGTATCTTTCAGAATCAATATTTTCTGACCAACTAAATTGGAATTTATAGAACAACTCAAGAACTACGAAATGATACTTTTTGGAGTACTGTATCTTGAAAAAAGTTACAAAAAATAATTAACCGCGTAGCTCAATCGGTTTTTAGTTTGTAACTTTGCTCGGAGACGAGATACAGTATCCCAAACAGTGTCATTATGTAGTTCTTGAGTTCTTCTACCGTATCCAATTTAGTTGGTCAAAAAATATTGATCCTAAATGAAACTATGACACGGTTCATTTCTCATGATTTTTAAAAGAGAAAACTGTCCAAATTGATCCCAATCGTCCAAATTTCATGAAAAATGACCCAAATTTTTTGAAAATGGTATGAAATTTATGAAAAATAGCAGAAGTTCAAATTTAAAAAAATCCGGGAATCTAGATATTAAAAAAATAGAAATGTCCGAAAAAGCCAAATTCAGAATTTACAGGAAATTCAAAAATTTCATACTTGCGACCGGGCCTTTGTCGGGCCTTCGCGGGATCTGCCATAGCTTCTTTTAGAATCAATTTTTTAGACCAACTAAATTACAGATGATAGAACTCGGCGAATGCTACAAAATGATGTTATTTGGAGAACTGTGTCTTGTCTATGAACAAAGTTACAGACAAAAAACAGAGACCCGGCCCGTCCACTTTATGACATGTAACTTTGTTCATAGACACGACACAGTTCTCTGAATAATATCATTTTGTAGTACTCGCCGAGTTCTATCAGATCTCAGTTAGTTGATCTAAAAATATTGCTTCTGAAAGAAACTATGGCAAGGCCCGCGAAGGGCCCGGCAAGTGCCCGGTCGCAAGTATGAAAAATTTGGAATTTAGGAATTCCGAAATTTCGAAACTTTCAGACTAATTTTAACTGAAATTTTCTTTCCCAACTTTGAAAAAAAAATTCGAAATTCCCAAAAATTTCCAGACGCGAACCGTCGTCGGTCCATTCAACGTCTGCCTCCGCCGCATCTGTGATCTGCCGGCCAACGTGGAAATCGTTCTCGAATCCCTCGTCGTCAATGAAACCGGACCACCGCAGAATCGTTCAAATAACAACGTCCAAACGATTTATATGATTCTGAACAGTCATACAGAAGAGGCAACGAAGGCGTTGGCGAGAATCACAAGTAGAGAATTGATCAAAGAGAAGGAGAATTCGGTGAAGATGTTAAGAGCGTTCTTCCGCGAAATGATACGTGGATTTTATCAGCAAAAAACTGGCGAATTCCCGTTCGCTGCGTTTGCGGAGACTGTTTTCAAGGAGGTTTTGAGACGAGGAGAAGCGGTGGGTTTTTTTTGGTTTTTTGGCGGAAAATCAACCTGAATGATCTGAGCTCAATTATCTCAGTTCTCATAAGATATATCAAAAATCGGTTAACTGATAAAACGTTTATCATAATATCAGCGACATTTTATCAGTTGACAACTTTTTGATATCTCTTCTAGGAGCCGAGATAATGGAGCTCAAAGATTGTATATTTTCTGAATCTAGAGATTTTCACGCAAATTACCGTAGAACCTGTAATAGAAGGGTCTCCACATTGTCAAGTTTGAGCTCACTTATCTCGCTTCCTATAAGATATATCAAAAATCTGTTAACTGATAAAATGTTAATCATAAGATTACCAACATTTTATCAGTTGACCACTTTTTGACATCTCTTACAGTAACCCAGATAAATTGGCTCAAATTTAACTTTTTATAATTTCAAAAAAACTATATAGGTTTTTTATTTTATTTTTGCAGGATGAAGTACCCCTTCTAATGTGTGACATGGTCTCCCAAATGCCGCTTATCACCCTAACCGCAGTGATAACAACTCGTGAGAATGCCTTCTCCACCAAATACAACACTCCTCTACCCACCGGAGACTACCCGATGATCTCAACTGAAGCCAAAATCGCCAAAGAGAAATTCAAGGCCGAATACGTGGCATTTGCTGAGAACTGCATTGAATTCCTGATCTCCTCCCGGAAATTGTTCCAAACGGATGGGACCTACTTGGCGAGTTTCTACCTGCTCTTATTCTTGGAATCCAATCGAGACGTCTATCCGGGTATCGAGATGGCTGTGGTGACGGAAGCAGAAATGACAACTTGTGTTCGGGTGTTTGGAGAGTGTGGATTGTCGGAGAAGATGTTTTTGATGGTGAGGAATTTTTTGAGAAAAAATAAATCAGAAAAATATGTACCGTAAAACCTGTATTAGAAGGGCCCCTTCAATAGGAGCCCCCCTCTAATAGAAGGGCCGCCTTCAAAATGTGTTTTGAAATCAGAAAATTTCCGTACTTTTTCAGTGGAAAATATTCCGGGAACTCCACAATTCACCGTAAAACCTGTAATAGAAGGGCCCCTTGACTTCCAACTTTGAGCCCATTTATCTCGGTCCCTGACAAAGATATGATAATATCACAAACATTTTACCAGTTAACCACTTTTTGATATCTTTCATAGAAAATAAGATAATTGAGCTCAAACTTGACAGTATGGGGCCCTTCTATTACAGGTTTTACAGTAGATTCACCTATAATAAAAAACCCCCAATCTTTCCAGCTATGCCATGAGGGAACGAATCAACTATCGCCCCGATCTCTAATCGATTTGATCTCTGCTCTAACCCACCGTGCAGTGACTCATCAATCTCAAACATCTACAGTACCCCTCATCAGCTTCTCCGATCCCTTTGAACTCATCGATTCGTTCCTACAAATGACAATCTACCCGGAATCCGATTTGCCACGTCTCGATCCGCCGATTTGTCAACGGAATCTCTACTGGATCGCATGGAACATCATCATTTTATGGATCGCCGGTGGATCGGAAATTTGCGGAAAATTCGCGAAAATCTATGAGAGCTACACCGTTTTGAGATACATGATTCATTGCATAATGACGAGGAAATTTGAATTCCCGCGCGATTTCGAAGGGAAATCCGCCGGAATTATGGCTGAGGAAGAGGCGGCGATGGAGAGTTCAGAAGCCATCGTTTTGAATATGTATAGGAAGAAGCTGGATCGAGGAATGCCCGTGGAGGCGATGGCGTTTTTGGAGAGGTTAGGGATCGAAAATCGAGTGGAAAATCTGAAAAATCGGATCATTTTCAGAACCGCTGCATTTGAGAACCGCGTCGTTTTAGAACCGCGACGTTTTAGAACCGCGACGTTTGAGAACCGAGACATTTTAGAACCGCGACATTTTAAAACCGCGACGTTTTAGAACCGCGACGTTTGAGAATCGAGACATTTTAGAACCGCGACATTTTAAAACCGCGACATTTTAGAACCACGACGTTTCAGAACTGCGACGTTTTAAAACCGCGACGTTTTAGAACCGCGACGTTTTAGAACTGCGACATTTTAGATTCGCGACATTTTAGAGCCGCGACGTTTTGAAACAGCGACATTTTAGAACCGCGACGTTTTAGAACCGAGATATTATAGAACCGCGACATTTTAAAACCGCGAAATTTTAGAACCGCGACGTTTCAGAACTGCGACGTTTTAGAACTTCGACGTTTTAAAACTGCGACATTTCAGTACCGCGACGTTTCAGAACTTACCATTTCTGAACTGTTTTGGTTGTGGAATCTGGAAATTAGAAAGATTTTTCAGATTTTGAGATCCAATTTGAGATTTCCCACTTTTCTAGCTTTCTCAATTTCCAGTTGCAAAGGTTCCAGGATTCTCAGATTTGTAGAATTTTTGAGATGATATCGTTCCAAGTTCCCAGATTCACTGATTTTTTGATACTTCCATATGTTCGAGTTTCAGATTTTCCAGTTTTTTTCAATTTTCAGATTCATAGGATTCCTGAATCCATGATTACCTGGGTTTCCGGATTCCTGAAATTCTAGATTCCTAGATTCTCTCACCACTTCAAAACCTCTTATTTCTTCCAGATCCGCTTTCCGTGCTCCATCCCTAATGGATGAAATCCGTCATTTATCGGATCGATATCAATTGGCTTCCCGTTTCGCCAAATGCCAGTCACCACCATTGTTATCTCAACTGATTCAAACCGTTGGAGCTCAAAACTCTTTGTTCGCAATCCGCGAAATGTTGTCTGTCGATGCATCTACTGCCAAGCGTCTCACATCTGAATGCATATTTCATTCCCTGATTTACTATTTTGATAGTCATCGATTGAGAGATTTGGATCAGAATTCCAGTCATGTTGTTAAAGCGGTAAGGGGTAAAAAACAATATTGTCAATTCAAAAAGATCGCACCGGTGAACTCACAAACAAACAAGTAAACAAGGGGGCGGAGCGATCCGCCCCTTTTCGCAAAGACGCCGCGCAGTTTTTCGACGGTATTTTAGCGTTGCCGGTTTTCGGTAATTTTTCCTCGAATTTCTTCCGAATTGAAAGAAATTCGTCGACTTTGTGAAGGAATATATAACTTTGTTATAATAAAAACTGAGAAACACAATTGGGAAACACTATTCTTTAGTTCAGGGTGAAAATGAAAGCTCAGGTAAACGATTCGGAATTAGATCTGAGTTCATTCGGAATTAGATCGGGACTAGATCTAATACCGAAGTTGACACGAGAAATGCGCCATCAATGACTCAGCTGCCGCGGATGAATTGTTTTGTTTTTTTTTTGTTGTCCTAAATTTTTTTCGTCAGGAAAATGGGTATTTCTCTCAACTTTTGCCTTTTTTTTCGCTCAATTATTTAAACTATATTTTCTGGAACATATTTTAATGTGTTGTGCACGTTTTTGCAAAATTTTAGGTGAATTTTTTCAGGGACAGCTGAATATTCAAAGTTCAATTTATATATACGACTTCTATAGAAGACAGTAATTCTATGAACCGACAAAAATACGAATATTTTGAAGATTTTAAATTCAGAGAAAACTCTGCGGGTAAGATAATTTTTGCCCTTTTTCAGCTTAAAGGATTACGTAAAAACGATGCAAGAGATCACCGAAAAAACAAGAAAAAAGTGATGATAAATTTCTCTGATAGTGAGCTCAATTTACACAAGTCGAGAAGGCCTTACTTTTGGAAGCCGTGTCTTGTCATGAGCAGGTTAGTTTTCGAAAGTCTGGTGGACAAAGAAACATGCGTGAAATTGCAGGCTCCCAACCGAATGTGTCATGACCCGATTAAAAAGATTCAAAAATTTGGGATTTGTTGTATAAAACAACTGCTCTGATGAATTTATTTGGATTTGCAAAGATTTGAGTACGGAAATTATATTGAAATGGATCAAGTAAGTTTATTATCGACATCACAAAGCCAAAAACTTCTTTTTTTTTCAGTTAAATCAACATTCATGTCATAAAAGAATATCCATCTTATCTACAAACGGAAACTATGACAAGAGAATTTTCAAAATCGAAAATATGGACGAGCGGAAGAATTCGAATTGAGATTTTTTTTTCATAAATTTTGTCACTTTTTCTTATCTCATAGGTCCCATTATTCTCGCTGATCTCATCGTTTTCTTTTTTGCTGATCCCATTCATTCATTTGTGTTACACCCCTCATTTTCGTTCCGATTTCCTATATCTACATTTTAATCAATGTTTTTCTTTTTCTCATACTTGTTCTGTTTTCTTTTTTAATAAATTTTATTATAAATAAAGTGAATGGCGTTGAAAAGAAAACAAAATTTGAAAAGCGCTCGCTACGATGCTCCGAAATCCCGCTGGTCTGTTCGGAATTGGATCTAATTCGTTCGTAGTTCATTCGGTGTTCGTTCGGAATTAGATCAGCTAAATTCTTTATTAGATCATGCCACTTCTATTTACGAACGAACCCAGATCTAATTCCGAATGAAGTCAGATCTAATTCAGAATCGTTTACCTGAGTCCTGCAATGATGAAAATAAAAGGTAGAAAAGCTTCGAGGCCACATAAACTCGATCGGGGAAGTGTTTGGAGTAATTTGTCGACTAACAGCAGATTATTCATCGCTTCTTCATAGTTGTGATACCAGAAGGCGATTTTTCTTATTAGTTGATAGATGAATTTAAAAAAATTCGACAAATTTCCTTCAATTCGGAAGAAATTCGATGAAAATTACAGAAAACCGGCAACGCTAAAATACCGTCGAAAAACTGCGCGGAGTCTTTGCGAAAAGGGGCCGATCGCTCCGCCCCCTAGTTTACTTGTTTGTTTGTGAGTTCACCGATGCGATCTTTTTGAATTGACAATACTTGGAAGTTTTCTAAAATTTCAAGACTACGAAATTCAAATTTCTGATTTTTTAAAGAATTTCCTAGGAATTCTGTCAGACTTTGAGGATACACTATTCAGTTCAAAACCCATTTTTCTAGGACTACTAGAAACCGATATAAAGCCACATTAAGCAAGAGACGCAGACAACGAGACACTCTGATTGTTTGCGTCTCTTCTAAACTTCAAATGGTCATATCTTGGCTCTCAGTGGTTCTAAACATTTGATTCTTTTTTAGAAATGTGTGGAATTTCGAGAGCTTTATGAATATGTATATTTTTTAAGTTTGGGTTTTTAAAACGGGTGCCCAAGCTTCGTTTAGAATCAATATTTTGGGACCAACTAAACTGGATATGATAAAAGAACTCAAGGACTACAAAATGGCACTATTTGGGATACTGTATCTTGTCTATGAACAAAGTTTGAATCCATAAAACGGTGACTGCGTAGCCCAGATAGTTTCTGGCTTGTAACTTTGTTCATAGACAAGGTACAGTACTCCGAATGATTCTTGAGCTCTTCTAAATAATCCAATTTGGTTGATCCGAAAATATTGATCCTAAAGTAATCTATGCCTGTATCCGTTTATGTGATTGTGTATTTTCAGAAAGCTCATGAAAATTCACACATTTCAAAAAAAAGATCCCGCTTTCTAGGAAATTCTCGAATTTGGAAATTCTGAAAATATTACATTCTAAAA